AGAATAAACATGCAAATAGACGGGTCTGTTTCTTACATCCCTATCAACACTAGTCAAATAAAATTTCATATCTTCGAACCCTAAAATTTTGGTCAAATATTTTCTTAAAATCTCTAAGAATTTAACAAACAATTTTTCTCGATGGCAGTATTTGTGTCCCTATCTAAACACCTTCACGAACTCCGAAGAATAAATTGTAATTCCACGACGACGATTAATGGTGGACTCATAAATAATTTTTAGGGTGAACACATATATATTAATAACAAAAGTTGTCCGTATGAGATAGACACAAATACAATTTTAAGATGTGGAGAAATGAATAATTAACATAAAAAAATTATATTTTAAGGTGGGCATGTTCACCTTCAAGAAGTCTTTAATTTGCTATTAACAGTTAAAACCCAAAACCCAAACAAAATAACGAAGAACAACGACGACTGAGGTATTCATTTGTCAAATTGAGCGGTGAAAGTGAGCAAAGAAGCGTGGAGAAGCACATACATCAAGATAAATTTCATCCAACAACTGGCGACAAAGATTGATGAAGGAGAAGTCAAAGGGTATCGAGTCAAATTCGTTAATTTTAGGGCATTTTCTGATATAATAAAGATTGGAGTTGGACTCAAGACTGAGATGTAAATACTGGTGAAATTTGAGATCAGAGGATCACAATCAATGATGATTGGACATCGACGCACAACAATAACGGAACAAACACCGATCGATGGATGAATTTAAAAAAAAAAAAGAGAAAAGTGATATTTTTTGTGAAAGAGGAAGAAATGAAAAATATATATATATACTTTCTTCGTCCCATTATTTTTTGTCACATGTTGACTAAGCATATAATTTTAGGAGATAAATTTGATTACGTAAAATGAGATAAATGATAAAATTATCCCAAAAAGTAATTAATATATTTGATAATTTTATTTTAATAGATTTAAAAGAATAAGACACATGAGAATAAAAAGATAAATATTATTATTGATTTTTTTAATAAGATATTATAAATGTGACAATTTTAATATTCAAAATAAACATATTTAATGCCACGAGGATAATAACATTATAGTTAGTGTCTGGGTGGGGCTCAACTTGAACCAGGATCAACCACCTAGTGTTCCTTTCATATTAGCATTTCTTTACTTTGGTAAAACTGCATGTTAAAGTCTCTCATTGTTGCATATTATCCTATTTGACCTTTTTTATCATGAAGTAATAGCTTGTGAGCCTAATAAGTTTAGCCTATTTCAATTAGGTCCTTAATTAGTTAAATTAATTGATAATTGAACATAACATGTTTAGCTTATTTCAGTTAGGTCCTTAATTAGTTAATTCGTTTCTGGTAAGTTTGCTATTGTATGTGTGAATTTTCGATATTAAGTGCAGGCTGCACTGTCGGTAATGCTTAAAAGCCCTTGTAATGGTAGTGTTAGTTCGTTCTAGCTACGGCTGTGTCTGTATGGTGATGTTTAGGATGAGATGTGCATAGAATCGTTTCTGGGTTATGGTTTTGACATTGAATAGGGGTATCCTTTAGGTGTAGAGAGGTTTTATAATAAGGCTCCTTTTTTTTATCGGTGTTTTGTAGTTCTATACTTATCTAGTTAAAATAATTAATAATTGAACTTAATAAATTTAGCTTCTTTCAATAGGGTCTTTTATTAGTTAAAATTAATTAATAATAAATTGAGTTGTTTGCAATTAGATCTTAATTAGTTAAATTAATTAATAATGAAGCCTAATAAGTTTAGCTTCTATTAATTAGGTCCCTGTGAGTTTAATTTCTGTGATTTGATCCTAATTTGACGCATAATGAATCTCTAATCAAGGTTTCAGCTAATTACAATTTTGGACTTACTTCATTTTTTATCCCTAGCAACATGATTCATTTACTATTTTCTACTAATCATATTCTTGTAGCCATTTTATGTTTCAAGATAATATAACCAATTTTAGTATATTAATTTTGGACGTAATAAGATGTTTGGATCGATTCTTAAACTCGACTTTGATCTTAATGTTAAAAGCAAATTAATTTGATCATATTTAAAGCAAAAGGAACCATATCGAGTATTTTATATATTGAATATTTATAATAAAAAAATATTTGGACACAAAAACAATGTCTACAGCTTAATAAATGTTTAGTCGACTGGGAAGAGACAGACGTGAGAGCTCTTCAATTATTATTTGGTAATTGAATCTCTGACGGTCCATTCAACATTTTTATTATTTCCGTTAGACTCCATTCGAAGATGGTTCGCCAAAATCCCTCACCTTTTTCTTTCACAATATTCAATCAATGCTTCATTTAGTTTGTGGGATAGGTCCTCTTAACAAACAATAATAAATTATTAATTTTTTAATAAATTATAAAAATATTTTCTCTTATAATCCAATTTGTCTCCATTAAAGAAACCAACCGGTGCTGAAAGTGAACGCCCGTTTCAGTTTGATGACGATAGCAGAACATTCTCAATATATTTATATTATATTCTTCTTTTATCGTATCATATCATAATAGTTCATTTGTATTTTCATTTTAACCATATAATAATATCATGTCTAATCAAGGAAGAAGATACATGGGAGAGATTCTTGTAAAGATATTCAGTTGATTCATTCAACCGGTGATTGAATTAAATAAATAAATTAATTTTTTAATTAATAACTAAATGAGATAAAGATCCGTTGAATTTAGAATTAATCAAAACTTTGATAATTCTAAATTGGTTAAAAAATAGCTGGTCTTCCATTCTTAATAATTTCGAGTCGAATTAACCGATAATTGAGTTTTAAAAAATTTATTAACTGTTAATTGATTAAACATCTAATTATCTAATTGATTAACTGAACTAAATTTTTATTCGGATGATTCATCCGATTAAAATTGAACAATGGCTCTTGCCCTTCCCAAAACTTTTGGTCTAATAGTATTCTAGGTTTCTATTAATTTAAACTTAAGTGAAATTAAACTTGTGTACCCTCTAATTTTTTAAATTTCATACTTAATAGATCTCTATTATTTTGAACTTTTGTAATTTACTCCTTTAAGTATTTAATCTTAACTTGGTCTCTAAATCTAATAGTATTTTATCTACCATATACAAGTAACCTTTTAAGTGAATTGCAGTGGGGTAGTTGTGAATTGTTATTGTACACAATTAAATTCAGTCCTGCATGTGCATGCAATTCACAGTATAACCCGCCCATGTTTATGCCGATGGCAGGCATTTCTTTATTTGGTGATATATGATCCAAAGAACCAAAATTGCTTAGTTACAAGTTGCGGATGATCATGTCGTTTTTATATTTAAGATCAAGTTGTAACATACAAAGTACATCCTTTTTAAAAATAAAAAAAGAATTGCACTGTTCAAAACACTAATTTCATAGACTTTTGCAACTGTCGTTTTAATGTCAAAATAAATTTATTCTTCTCAATTAACAAATAAAGGAAATACATAGTAAAGAAAAGTAAGGGTCGATACTCAGGGACTTAAAAAATTTCAAATTTCTGTTTGAATTGTTTAAACCAGACGATAAGTCGTAAAAAAAGGTTTGGTAAAAAGGATTAAATAATAAAAAGCGATTTAAAGAAAAAAAATAGAGAAAATAAAAATTGAAGGTTGAAAATGAATATGGTAAAAATAACCTCAAGCCTCGCTTTGACTTAATTTCATTCGGATCATCAAATTAGATTTTTCCTTCGGGATTCACGTCGGTTACTTTGTCTACAAGGATAATCCTCGTGACTCTATTTGTATACCGAATACCCGAGGCAATATTTGATTCCAGCTTCGGAAATTGATCTAATCAACATCAATTGTCGTAGATCAATAACCGTTTAAGTTCGTGAAAACCGACTCGGATTGTTGTTTCAATAACTATCAATTCCGATCTCAATTCCCTCTTGGCAAGACAATCTCGCCAAGTGTGTTACCAGGAATTCAAATGTGCTTTCAATAAGTCTATCATTCTTTCCAAACATTTAATCGCAACACCTTGACCAGAGTCAATCTTTGATTTTGGAACTGTTTTGATTTTAAAAAATAAGCGCAGAGATCGAGATAGATATTTCGAAGTTATTAAGGTGCTTTTCAATTCTCACGTTGGAATTGAATCATCGCTTCAGCTCTCGGCTTATGAGAAAATTAGCTAAGTATGACTTTTGTCATACTTAGCATGTTTAAAATAAAACTTAAAATAAAAATGAAAACGAAAACTTGAAAAGAAAAGAAATAACTTTATAAAACTAGAAGGAAGAAGAATAAATTTTGAGTTGTGTGTTTAAGCTTACCCCAAAAGGGTATTTATAGCCTCTAAAACCCTAAAGATAAACATATAAATTAAAATTAAAATAATCCTAAAGATAATTCCAAATGTTTTCTAAATTCAAACTTTAAAATTAAAAATAAATCTCCTAAGATATCTATGTTCGTCCATCTTCCAGAAGGCGCTTACTAGATCTTCTAAAAAACGGCTGATGACTGAACCTTCTATAAATTGTCACGTAAGATCGTGTCATGCCTAGAGAAGTGCCAATGTCTCCAACCGTGACCAAATAATAAAAAAATGCAGAATGCGCCCGTTTTATTACATATTCTAGAAAGTAAGATATGAACGAAAATAAGAATAACACAATCAAATCAGCAGCAATAAATTCATAAAAACGAAGAATTAACGAGCAAATATTATCAATTTAGAACACTCATCATACTCTTTTGTTATAATAATAATAGGGCAGCTCGAGGAATTTAAAATTATTGAGAAACTGGGGGGGCCAACGCCACTTGTCCATCGGTTACAGCTCCACTCAGCTAGCTTACTAAATAATGGTTGTTTGTCCCCCTTATGACCAAGATTCCATACATGTATCTATATATTGCTGTGTCCATTTTCAACCCCAGAATCGCATCTCCAGATTCATATTCCCCGTTTCTAAACTGAAAAATACATTGGCTGAAAATGGCACGGCCGGCAGGTTGCGGCGAGGCCATGGGATTGTTGAAGAAATGGTCGTGGACTCCGGATGAAGACCAGAAGCTCTTAGCTTATATCGAACACCATGGCTTCAGGAATTGGCGTACTTTGCCTGCCAAAGCTGGTAATTAAATATCTTTTATATATATACATTTTGGTTTTTACATTTGCATATATAAATGATTAATTAAACTGTTCTTCTTTTTCCATCTGGAAGAAGGGCTTCGAAGATGTGGAAAGAGCTGCAGACTGAGGTGGATCAATTACCTGAGACCTGATCTCAAGAGGGGGAAGTTCACTCTACAAGAAGAACAAACTATCATCCAACTCCATGCTTTTATTGGAAACAGGTAAAGATGGCAATTCTATATTTGTATCTCAAAACTATAGATTCTATATTTTGGGTTTTGGTCCCAAGGTTTTTCGGGTTATTTGTTTTTAGTCAGTTATGTATGAATTATTTTAAGTCATATTAGGATTCAGATAGTTTAGAATTTAGTTCAGTTACTAATTTAGATTGTTTTATTTTAATGATTAACTGAATTAGGTCGGATTTGAATTCATAATGAACAAATCAGTTTTTTGAAGTTCAATCAAAATAGGTCTAGAATAAGGAAAGTAAAGTTTGTGTTATATTTGGGTATTTCAGCTTCAAGCCTTTGTTTCCAAGATAATTGTTACTACTATGGTAGATAGGGATAGTAATGGATCGACTTAGGTCGAATTTTTGGCAGTACCAAACATTTCATCTGATTTAAGTTTAGAGAAGTTTCACCTAACCTAAAATCAAGGATGAACACTCACTCGATCTGAATATAAAAAATTCTCATTTTATTCCGTAAAATAATGATCTAATTGAAAATATATAGAGAGAGGAGACTATTATAGCAATTATCCCTAAATATATATATGAGAAAACTATACTATTATACAAGGTTGAGTCAGATTTGATATTTTTCATTCTAAATTTGAACTTGATCCTAACATGACTTTATCCTTCACAAAATCTAACTCGACCCTACTTGAACTTAAATTTAAAAATATATATATGGAATTATAAGATTAGATCGAATTATAAGTTGTAAACCATCAAATTCGGATCAGATTATAATTCCCGATTATAAGTTAACAGGGAAGAAGGTAGGAGCTCGTTGAAGCCTTGGGCTAAATGGGTAATTCCAAATTTATCTCATTTAAATATTAAAAGTTTAGTTTAAACCTTTAAACACTTTAGCTAAATTATATATTATGACCTATTTTAAAAATTACTAGTTAATTAAAGTTTTATTTTTTGATCTCTAAAATTTTATAATTTTATCTTGATTTCGTGACTTTGTCCATGATTCTCAAGGATCTCTCCAAATCCCTTTTCTTCCAGCACATGTTCTTTCTTATTGTCCGTCAAGTGTTTAATTATGCACTTAACTCTTTTGATGCTACTCTTTATCGACACATTTTACATTTTTTAAAATACATTCTTGATATCATTTATCACAGTATTTTAATGTGATTTCCTCAAAGCTTTATATTTTTCTGTCATTTTTGGACAATGTCATATATGATTCATTCTCAGCATCAGTCATCGACTTCCATTTGCCAAGCACCTCTTGTCTCACATGAAATTAAGCATAAACGTTTCTTAATCAATAAATTAAAGATAAATAATACTCATTCTAAATTCAATTTACATATATAACCCGAGTTGTAATTACTAGCTTCCTTCATCCTTTGGCATTCAGTTATACTGTCAAGATTTGAAATTTGTAATTAATTTCAAGTTCTTAAATACTTTAATCCAATTATCATTTCAACAACAATTACACAAATACATTGATACTTACTAGAAGTACATATATCCACCTAGTAGTTGCTTTCGATTTTCTTCAGTCTCCATACTCTTCGGCTCCATTTCAAAGTCATCTTCGCGAAGAACAATTGAGAGATCCATTGACTTCGTTTATCCTTCATATATCAGTTTATGAATATTCAAACATTAAATTAAATCAAATACAAGTTACATACAATTTATCCAATATAGAAGTATCGATAACTGATCCTATAGTAACTACTTGCGTTCAAAGGAATGATAATAGAGTAGTTTCTAATACAAGTATCGATACCTATAACATATACAACCTACAATATCAATTTCTACCTATAATGTTCTATAAAAGTATTGATATTTATTTTCTACCAAGAATATCAATATATACCTATAATCGGTCTCAAATCTTTCTTTACTTCGAAAACCCTAAACCTTAACCCCTATTTTCGAATACAACAAAAAAAATTAGGGTTTCGACAGCATACCTTTCGATTCGATTCTGATTTTGTTTCGCAACAACAAAGAACTACAATTTCAAAAACGCCTTGCTTTTATTTCGTTGCAGCCAAAACGCTTCGATTTCAAAAAATACGAGTGTTTATGTAATGCCTTCTATTTCATAGAAATGTATTGATACTTTTGTTATGCCTTCAAAATATTTTGACCAGTTATGCTAATTATATTTAATCGATACTATTCCCCAAGTATCGATATTTTTGTGTAAGGTATCGATACTTTCAAGCCGTTTTCTTTTTTGCAATTCTTTTAAATGACTTAAGTATTGATACTTTTATACATATACTTACAAAAGTATCGATACCAAACTATAACATATTATGTTAACGTAAATAATTCCGGTAGCGTTTAACCGTTTTTGTCAAATTAAAATTGGTATTATCAAAATCAGTCGTGCTATATCGATTTTGTCCAATTTCAAGTGGTATTGTCAAATTTCTATCGGTTTTGTCTATTTCAACCAATTTTGTCAAATTCGTAAGCAGTTTTGTCACATTGCAACCAGTTTTGTCATTATATTGTCATGTATTAATACATGTTTGTAAGGTATCAATACTTTTGAGCCGTTTTTATTGCAATTCTTTTAAAGTACTAAAATAATGATACCTTTATACATATGCTTAAAATCGTATTGATACCAAACTATAACATATAATGTTTAAGTCAACATTTCTGGTCTCGATAAACTGATATTGTCTAATTTTAACAGGTTTTCTTCACTTTCTTATATTATACTATATATATCGATACTTGTGTGCACGATATCGATACTTCTTACATGTAAATCAACACTTGTATGGATAATTGTCTACATGTATTGAAAAATAGTATCGATACCAAACTATAATATATTATGTGTAAATCAACATTTTCGGTCGAGAATACTGATTTTCTTAAGTTTCTTATATGTTACTACACATATCGATACTTGTACATCATTACCGATACTTAAAATCTCACATTTTTTTCCGGTCCAACCTACCTCAAATGTTAAATTTTCATCGGTTTGTTTAAGTTCCAACCTGTTTTCTTCTCATGTATCGATACTTGTATACATGAATAGAAAAAAGTATCGATATCTAAATATAACATATTATGTGTAATTCGATATTTTCGATCGCACTCAACCAGTTTGTTTAAGTTCCAACCTCTTCTCTACTCATAAACTCATGTACTGATATTTATATATATGTATCGATACCTACCGATAACCAAAGTTTATCGGTTACCAAATTTTTTAATATTTATTCATATTTTCCACCTACAACATTATATTATGTCAACATTTTCAATAGCGCTTAACCAACTTTGTTAATTATCATATTAAATTTCTAGTCACTCTGTCTCTTAGCCTTATATTAGTCCGCCTTTCCTTAGACATTCCCCTCAATTTTAGGTTGACGATTGAAGAACCATTCCATTTACAGATAGGGAAATTTTGGTATCGCATGCATGCATGCAATTCTTTCCTTTTCCTGATCAGTCACAGACAATTCTACGTAGCGTTTTTTGTTGTGTGTGAAGGTGGTCAGCCATTGCAGCTCACTTACCCAACCGAACCGACAATGAGATCAAAAACTACTGGAACACACGTATTAAGAAAAGGCTTAACAAGATGGGGATCGATCCCACCACCCACAAGCCCAAATCTAACCCTTTCTTCAGCTGCAACAATGATCGAAAGGCGGGCACACTGAACCACATGGCTCAATGGGAGAGTGTCCGGCTCGAAGCCGAAGCCAGGTTGGTTAAGGAGTCAAACAAAATCCTTTCATCTTCAAAAACTTCCCAACAGCAGAACAATCACAACAAAAGCTCGACACCATCGACTAATAATAAATCAGAGTGCCTCGACGTTCTCAAAGCATGGGAAAGCGTGGTTTCTGACATGTTCACCATCTCCTCCACCACCACCAACTCGAACCAAGTTATATTCGGGTCGAACCAGAGCTCTTACGAGCTTGGTCTAGTTGAAGCCGGTTCAATTACACCCGTTGGAGGAATCGTTGAAGATGAGTTCATGTTGGAGGACGATAGATCGAAGTACCAAGTATCGGAATTGAATGAAGGATTTGATAACTCCATGTGTTTGCGTGATACTACGTATCATTGGACTGGTCCTGCAACGGATCCAAACATCGTCGAGGGTTTTTCAGATATCTCCGTGTATGATTTCGATTACCCGATGGACATTGGGGTGTCGATATCTATTTAACAAAACCACCAAATATTTTTATGGGAATTATGCATAGATATGTACGTTGAATCCAGCATTGAGAATTTGACATCTTTCGATTAAATTTTTTAATTGCTTATTATTTTTGATTTTAATTTTATTTTGATTTGATTTAAAGAATTAACGACACTATCCATTTATACTCGTACAATTCTCAATGTTATAAATATGTGACTAAAATTTGACGCATATTTACAAAATCTTCTAATTTATAATTACATGTGTAAGTGGACAAAGCGTTTGGTGAAATGTTCATATATCACTCGTTTACTAAGTTAAATAAATTAGCATGAACAAATTTTTTATGTTCATTTAATAAACAAATGAACATAAATAGTGGTGGGTTCGTTTATGTTAAAAAAAAAACTTGTTTGAAAGCTCGTTTATCAACTTATTTATACTCTCATTTACTTGGTTCTCATTTTCCTTTTATTTTTTTACATTTAAAAAATATTGGTGAAAGTAGGGATTAAATTAAACACAAAGTGATCTTAGGAGTTCAAATCTTGAAGCCTAAGGAGTTTAAAGACTAGTGACATAATTTTACCATTTTAAAATATATAAACAATCATGTTTGTGAACGCTAAACGAATATATTGACAAACATATAAAAGAACATGTTCATAAACCTTAAACAAACATGTTCACGGATATATAAAACGAGCATGCTCACGAAAGTTAAACGAATATGCTCATAAATACTAAATAAATTAATCGAGGACGGATATCTTAAAAAAATAAACAAATAAACACTAGTACAATATTAAAAATTTTAAAAAAATTAAACATAAATATCTTTAAAAAGAAAAAACAAACATAAATACTAATTTATTCATTAAAACCTTAATAGGAAAAACAATTATTAGAAATGAATAGTACAGACACACGCTTTTATGGTGGTGAACAGATTCTGGTCCATTGTAAATGCAACTTAAAGCGATGCAAAGTTAACAGATCATGTCAGGGCTCGGGGGCCCCTCCTCTTCCACATTTTCTTCAAATTTTAATATTACTACGAATTCTACTGAACGATAGTATTAATATACGACTAAAGAAATATGTTACTGATTTGATTATTATTTTTTAATATTTTTAATAAAAAATTACCTAAAAATATTATTATTGCTATATTTTTTATTATTATTGAGAGATGTAAAGAAAAATATGCTTAGGGTTTTGAGCCAAATCTCCTTTTTCAAGCTACAAAAGTAAAGTTGCTGCTCAATAATCAAACATCCAAGACCCTGGCTACATACCCGAATGTGGACCAACACATCTGTGAAGCTCAGCAAATACATTTCTGCCGATGCCTTCATGTTGTGCAATGGCTTCTCACTCTGTTGCTGCTCTTCGTGACTCGGTTGATGAACCCGATTGTTTTGCCGGTCAACGTAGGGTGTTCCCAATAAATGTTCCTCATGTTCTCATAGTACCCATAAACCAGAGCCGTCATCATAAACAGCTTTCACTTTGGGTTTTTTTTTCATAGATGCACAACCAATCCTCTTAACATCAACTTCAGGCAGCAACTTCTCCCCTATAGTACATGCTGAAATCTATCCTTCACGTATTAGAACATTCTCCGTTAATTTTTAATTTTTGTATATCATTCTCGTGCTTCACTGTAACACCTCAATTTAGGGGTTAAATTTAAGAAAATATAAATTGGTGAATTTAATTGGTATTTTTGAAAAGAATTGGGGATTAAATTGTAACATTTCAAAGTTGGAAGACCGTTTTAAGAAGTGCAGGAAGTTCAGTGACTAAACTCATGGTTTACCCATTTTTATTAAATCCCTCATTCCCGTATATTTTCTGGAAAATTTTCAAGATTTTCCCTCTCCGATCTACTCGTCGTCCGACCTCCGATCGACGAGCCGAAACCACCATCATGTTCGTTGTCAACCGAGAAACAAAACCCCTCAAACCTTTCGTCGTGAATCATCGCCATTCGTCGTTAATTTCAGTCGGAAGTATCGTCGGTAATAACTCGGTTTTAGTTAGTTTTTCATCGATTTACAACGATCGGGTCATCCGTTTACGACACCTTTCGCACCATCGTGTTCGTTGCATCGTTTCGAGTTCGCCGGTGTCATCCTTGGTCTCCGTCGACAGCGGCTCGTGAGGAGGTGAAGCGGTCAAAGTTTCTGATTTATTGAAATCGAGCTCTCTGCCGTTCAAAATTGTGAACCGAGCTTTGTAAGTATCTTGAAATCGCTCAAAATGATTTTTAAGAATTTTTTCGTGATTTTTAGGGAGCCGGAAGGGGTCCCACGCGCCGCCACTGCGCGTGGGGATGGTCCAAATGACCGGTTTGACCAGTTTTGGTGCATAGTTGACTGGTTTGACCAGTCATAACCCGACCCGACCCGTTTACCCGACCCGACCTGTTGACCCGTTGACCATTGACCGGCGTTGACCACTGTTGACCAAAACTTTGACCGGCTTTGAACGGGCATTAAACGACCTTTGAATTCGACCGAGTATACCTATCCTGACATTTTTCGACGTTCCAAATCCGATTCCGCAGTCCTTTTCTCGACATTCGAACCCGAAGGCCTCAAAATTTCCAGTCAAACCCGTTGACTTTGATTTTGACCGAAAATTCCAAATTTCTGAAAAGTCATATTTTATGCTTTCGACGTCCTGAATCCGAATCCGAAGTCCGTTTCGCCAAATTCGAACCCGGTAAGCCGTCTTTCACTGATTTATCACCCGATTCGATCCGTTTATCGCAATTAAGCTTCGTTTCTGATATAATTTATGTTGATATGTATCTGAGGAATTATTGGAAGTTGAATTGAAGATCAAAGGCATACGAATGGAATTTTTATGGTCGATCAGTATTGCACGGAAATCGAGGTAATACTTTACTACCTCTTTATGCTTTGTGGAACATGTTTATATTGATAAATGCATGAACAAGATAATGTTGGTCACTTTGGTGGAGTTGAATAGTTTATACACTCGATATGATGTGGTAGAAATTCTGTAACTAATTACGGATCGAATGACTAATATAAGAGATTAAGGAATTGTGAGATTAAATTACAAGTTTGTGATTAGTGATAAAGAAATCAGCCATGTATCTGCAACTTATAATTTATTTCATCAAAGGTTAAATGTTAAAGGTACTTGGATGGGAAATTATGAGAATACTCTGGTAGGGTAAAATTATGAAAATACCCTTATGTTATAAAAAGACAAGATTTGAATATGGAAGTTAGATAAGAGGATTTTACAGACATATTGATCTGATAAAAATATTGATGTGTATAAGAAATGTTAGTTTTATTTGGAAATTATGGATAACCGGTTTTAATCCTATGAGAATTTGTGAAGGATACTAGAAGTTTGTTGAGAGAACCGTTTCAAGATCAGAGAGTATTCAAGAAAGCAATTAATCATAGGATCTCTAAATTATATTATTTTCGTTAAGAGCTAATATCGAAATTATCTGGTTAAGAAATTACGGAAATGCCTTAAGAGATAGAATAGTCTGAGTTGACTCTAAATGAGAAAATACTTAGAGGATTCGTACTTAACTCGATTAAGTACGGATTTGATTATTAAAATCCTGACTTAGTGCAGGAAAATTCCTGATGTTCCGTTTGTAAAATCTGAGAAGGCACTTGACCCGGAAATATCCAAGTTATGAGTAAATACCTGAAGAACAATTTGTCGGGGGTGTTCTGTTGTCAGAATTGTTCGAAAGGACTGAAATAAATGATAAGATTGAATTTAATAGTAAGATCGGGCAGAATGAAATGATTAAAGTACACTGAATCTGTACAATGACCAAAATACCCCTGTAATGGAAATGACCCAAGAATATCACCAAGCTCAGGAATGATTGGATATCCTCGAGCTCTGAAATAAATGGAATAAAACTGAACACCAAAATTACCAAAATAACCTTATGGCCTAAACTAAGTAAATACCTTGGATTAATTAAGGAATCCAAATAAGCATAGGTATTGGACTACCTTTAAAAGTTATGGAACATAACTTAAGTGAGCAGATCAACCTTAATAATATGTCAGTACCTGAACGAAATAGATATTACTTGAATGCATGTTCGTCTACTCAAGTTTAGCTCAATGATAATTTTGGAAGTATTCAGCTCAGCTCAACTCTAGATTGCATTCGGTACTAAGAATTGGATATTTGTTCGACAAATCAACCACGAATACCAAACTGAACTGAACGGAAGTACATATGTATATGAGATTCAGAAACGTACGGAATTACTCTGGAAAATCCTGAAGTAACTGGAATAGACTTGAATGCTAAATGAACTAAGCATCCTCAAGCACTAAGGATTAAGTAAGTGATGTGAATGAGTCTGGAAACATTAATGAACATACACAATGTACTGTTCTTCTGGATCATGAACTACAAATCAAGCACGTTAGTATTTCATGATATATTATAAGCGTAAAATTAAAATAAAGACATTGGAAGATTTATTCAGTGATGATTTCGAAAATGATCTATGGACAAGAGTTTGTGGTATTAAAGAGTAAATACCCTGGAAGAACAATGAATTGATCAATCGACAAGCATTAATTTTGGGAGTTATTCATTTAAGAGTTGTTTGATAATCCGATCAATCGACATAGATTGTAAATGTCCTGAATCTTCATTTCTTCCTTACAGCTCAAGTCATATTCTGAATAATTGATGATTTTGTCAGTTATTGAACTCTTCCAATAGTGATCCTGAATTACGATATTCTATCGGCATACTGAATAACTGTGTTTCTCTGCCTGATACAGTACCTCTAAATAATACCTGTAAACTCTGGTCTGTTCCCTAATTATATAAATATTTTATCTGATTTCCGAATTGAATTCTGTTCTGATACGTTACCTGAATTCTGTTCTGATTCTGATATGGATTATGTTCTGATATCTTATATGAATTCTGTTTTGATTTCTGATATCTCCGTTTACCGACGGAGAAATGTTTTATCTGGG